AGGATACTGGCGATTGAAATCGGGAAAATCGGGATGCTTGAGATTTGGGGCAAAAAAGCGGGATATCCCGATTAAATCGGGATGAGTGGCAGGTCTGCACAAAAACACACACACAAATCACCTTATTCACTTCCAAATAACCAAACAGCTTGCATCCCTCGTTCTTGACGGCCTCCATCTTCTGAGCCCATCCCTCTCGCTTGCACTGCTCGATGGAGTCTGGGTTCTGGAAGGCCCAGCCCTTACGTCGGTACGCCTCCCTCACTTCCTCACATGTGTTGCAGCACCTGGCCACAGACAGACAGACAGTCAGACATACAGACAAACATGTCAGGCATCATGCTGAGATCAGGTGCTCGGCAAAATTAGGAAATCCAAATTTTTCAACTTTTTGGACAATTCTATCACTTTTCTTTGCTGCTGTTTTTTTGTGTGGGTTTTTTTTTTTGGGGGGGGGGGCCTTAAAACTGTGCATGTCCATTAAGAAACCTATTCCTGCGTGGATTTCACAGAAAAACGAGGATCAAAGGCAGGAAAAAAAGAAAACTTGCTGTTTCCAAGGACACTATAGCATCAGAGGTCACCAAACATTGCCTGCCATTTTCTCACTTATGTTGACCTCTGACCCCAGGTGACCCATCCTCTGACCTCCGACCCCAGGCCATCCCTCCTCTGACCTCCAACTCACAGAAAGTGTATCCACGCTCATGAAAAACGTGGTTGCGATTGAGGAAAATATGACGGCATGCTACAGGAAGCTGTTCCAAGTGAAAACATTTAGTAGTCTCCGACTATTTGGCTCATCTAGTTAAGTAGAGTGACAGGTCTAGGCTTGAGTCTGAAACAGAAATGATCAACTCTCTGGATCAAGAGAAACCATCATCAACTCTCTGGATCAAGAGAAACCATCAACTCTCTGGATCAAAAGAAACCATCAACTATCTGGATCAAGAGAAACCATCAACTATCTGGATCAACGATCAAGTCTCTCGACCAATAAAATCTATCCACGTTGAATCTACCTTCTTAATCCCACTCTCCACTGCACCATGGCAACACAGCATTGGAGGGCAGATATTTTTATCAACAGCAAAACTGTTATGTATATATATATACAGGAAGATTCTATCAACAGCAAAACTGTTATGTATATATATACAGGCAGATTCTATCAACAGCAAAACTGTTATGTATATATATACAGGCAGATTCTATCAACAGCAAAACTGTTATGTATATATATACAGGCAGAT